GGAATAAAAAAAATGCTCTGAAAAAAAAAAAAAAAAAATAAAAAAAAACATTCATATCCTTATACATTTGAACTGCCTAAGTCGAATAAAAAATACCATTGAAAAATTGTTCGACTTGGATAACATTCGACTTAGATAAAATTTGACTTACAGATTGTTAATTAATGGAAAACACAACAATCTGGCATGTAAAATAAGTTCGACTTAGAAATTATTCGAGTTGGGCAAAGTCGACTTAGACAAGTTTAACTGTATGCTATCTACAGTTTTTACATCTTATTTACTTTGAATATTGTTTATTAGGGTTGCTTATTTCTACAGAGCAGTAGATGATTTGTTCACCAGATTTGCATACTTTGTTGTTGTAGGACCTCCCCTCATTATCATTGCTGTATTATAGATGTTTCTTATCCCATTTGTACAGTCTCCTGGTGAAGTCCACTGCGTGCACGAATGATATAAATTTTATACAAGATAAGCCCAGTACACAATACGCACCTGTCTCTTATACACATCTAGATGTGTATAAGAGACAGATTGTGAGCCATGGTTTCATAATAATTGTTCTAGTATTGCCATAGTTACCAACCTCCAGTAATTTGAATGTGTTAAAAATGTGTCGGTGAACTTGGCCAGCAGCGAAATTCGAGGGCCCTGAGCCAGGGAAAATTATAGGGCACCTTGATTTCGCAAAAAGTCAATGGCCGCATCTGAAACGGGACCATTTTGTGTACGTATTATTAAAAATAATTAATTTTATAATGAATGCAAAATTATGATTACATATAGGTTTAGCAAAATTTATAGTTTTTATTAAAAAGACTTTGAAATAAGCCATGAAAGAAAAAGGTGGTTATGCCCCTTTTCCCTAAAGTTTTTAAATATTAAAAAAAAAAATCTATTTTATATTGTTCCCAGTTTTTTGTCAAAAATCCGTCCTACAACATATCAACATTTTGTGTGCATCAAACAATGTTTGTCTCAAGTTCAGTGATTTTGCCTTGTAAATAAATAATAAAACAATCTCTTTTCCTCAAGCTGATATTTTATTCTCATTGTCTGATATTTGTACATCCAACATATATTCCAAACTATGCAGATCTACAAGACAATACATACAGTACTGTATATCTGAAAATATAGTGTTTTACTCCGAAATAAAATAATAATCCTAAATATGTACATGTATAACTTAACCACAAAACAAGTGGTGAAATGAATTTTACAGTACTTTTATTGTAGAAAATATATTTAAAAAACCTTTTTAATGTGGACGGAATGTTTTGTTAAATTAATAAAAACTGTAATTATCAAAGGTATTACATATACACATACCTGTACAGTACTATAATTAAATATTTTTTTTTTAAATATAATTCCATTAAATAGTGTATGCATGGTAACACTATTTGTTTAATTGGATATATACAATCTAAACAATTATTAAAATGTTAATTGGTGTATTACCAACACATTCAAACATGTTGGGAATGTTTAAGTACAGTGCTCAAATGGATTTTTTTTTTTTTATCAGGAGAAATAACACGAACGATGTTTGCCCTATCTGAAATGCAATCCTACTGAATGCTCAGTAGCATTGGGTACTATAGTACTATTCCGATGGCATTTTTCATCACTGACCACCAAATGCAAGTCTTGTGGTCAAGTCCAGAGGTCATGGGTTCGATTCCCACCCGAATCACAGTTTTTTTTTTCGCAAGTATTTGCGAACGTACTAATCATTCAGTACGATAACATGTCAGGTTACAAACATAGTTCATATTGTCATATTATTGATCAATGATCTATTTCTACTAAAAATACAAATCTTATTATTAATAAAATATTGATTTCTGAAACTTTTTTTCTCAAAACGTACAGTACAGTACTTGACTGATATGCGATAAATTAAATACTCATAATTTCACTAATATTTAAATAATTTCCATCAAACACTGCTTTAAAGAAGATTTCATGCTGCATCGAATAATATCAAAAACTAGAAGTTAGTTTTCCCAGAGCTAGTCACATATATGACACAACACACTGTCATAAAAAGTCTAATCATACATTAAAAGGCAAAGCCCAAATATAAATCGTTTCTTTATGTAATTATTAAAATGCTCTGACAAAAAAAAAAAAAAAATAAAAAAAAACATTCATATCCTTATACATTTGAACTGCCTAAGTCGAATAAAAAATACCATTGAAAAATTGTTCGACTTGGATAACATTCGACTTAGATAAAATTTGACTTACAGATTGTTAATTAATGGAAAACACAACAATCTGGCATGTAAAATAAGTTCGACTTAGAAATTATTCGAGTTGGGCAAAGTCGACTTAGACAAGTTTAACTGTATGCTATCTACAGTTTTTACATCTTATTTACTTTGAATATTGTTTATTAGGGTTGCTTATTTCTACAGAGCAGTAGATGATTTGTTCACCAGATTTGCATACTTTGTTGTTGTAGGACCTCCCCTCATTATCATTGCTGTATTATAGATGTTTCTTATCCCATTTGTACAGTCTCCTGGTGAAGTCCACTGCGTGCACGAATGATATAAATTTTATACAAGATAAGCCCAGTACACAATACGCACGACAGTCGTCAGCCGATGTGATTCTGTGAAAAACGCGACAATGTGAATGCAACAGATCGTATTTAATGCAATCCATTCAGACTGCCACCAACAATCAATAGAGGGCGTTTCGTTGTTTAGCGCTCACAGACAGCCGAGTTTAATTCATCGTGAGACGGTCATACAATGCAATGAGGTTCCAACTTCAGTCTTTAAAGTGCTGCTGTCATTTTTTTAATGTAATAATCCTCGTACATAGTTTCTAGATCGCCATTCCATCAATGATCCTGATCTTTGCAGATGAACCAGCCTTCCTGCTTGAGACTGTCACCACTTTATTTCCCTTGTGCTTTTGAAAGACCAGCTTTGGATAGCGGTTCACCGCATGGGCATACATCGCCTCACGGAATTCCTGCACTGTTGCCGTCTGTGACCATTTGGTCCTCACTTTATTGGAATTTTTCTGCAAATATAGAAAAAGATAAAAAGGTAAGTCGTGTTACGAATACGAAAACGAAGAACTTTATTGCAATCTCTGATTCAAAATTGAAGTTTAACAAAAGGGGAGAAAAAACATTTTAAAACAACACCACAAACACACCATAAACACATAAAAACTAGAATAAAACTACAATGAGACATTACAATTAATAAGGCAACATTAAGTTAAGAATTCAAGTACAAAAATAAATAATTTGCTAATTAATTAAAAATTTAAATGACATATTATTTACAATAAGTTAAAAAAAAATTATTGCAACAGGGAATCAATAAGAAAATCTGGACCGACAGTTAAAAAAAAAAAAAAACATAAATAAACCCAAGTGCTGCATATTAGTTCATTCAGCCAATCAGTTATGAATACATTTAGAATGTTCTTACTCTTTATGACTGGTAGATTTAATGTGGGCTCATGCACAATTATCTACAAAATGTGTGGGATTGCTACTAATTAATCATAAATAACTGATGTACTTACAAGGTCAGCTAAAGCAAATTTTCCAGTGTAACCAACATTTATATCTAGGTTCATAAGATCTATAAATATCTGACCGAGTGCATCGGTTTCACCCACGAATGCCTTGTCCAGCAAATGCAACACAATATACCTATAGATAGAAAAAAATTTCATGAATATTAATTAGGAGTGATGAATTTTCACCATTAAGTGTATTTAACCATTTTACAGATGCGTTTTCATTCGGCAAATCTGGCTGTCCGCCATTGACTACAAATAAAAATATATTTAATATTACACCTGATGACGCACTCACCTCCACTGCCATGGTATCTCCTAAGAAATCAATGAAGTAATTGTATTATAATTATAATTACTATAATATTATTACTATTATTTTTTTTTTATTAACTATATTCATAGCACAACAATTTTGCCACCCGAAGAAACAAAACTTTATTTTTATTTATACTTCAATTTGGAGATAATTAAAAATTTAAATTCACTAAACAAGGTATAAACAATTTTTAAATATTTTCATCCAATAAAAGTAAGCATACTAAAAATGTACATGGGCTACCATATTATTGATATATTTATTGTCAAATTTTAATTCCCATTCATTAGTGGGGACTTTATTTCATACCTTGTTTCTAACCATCGTCTGCCAATAATGATGATTAAATAAAACTAAAGTCGCATTTTTGGCCCATTAGCACACTTGCTTCTATTGTAAAATTTGCAGCCAGGCCCAGAGGATTTTTTTTTTTTTTTTTTTTTTTTTCATTTTTTACAACAGATCCTTCTAAATGAGTTAAGTTCATGAGATACAGATTTTTAAAAATATTATTTGGGGAAGGGGGAGTGGGGGGAAAGGGTGATTACACCTATGTACTAACCTGCTACTAAGCTCTTCCTCTGCTACTGGGAAATTGAATACTTCATTCCATTCTGGATCCAATGTGTTCTTCACAATCTAAAAAGTATGAACAATCATGACTATCATTTTCATATCTTCTAAATCATTGGTTATACATTGTAATGTCTCTTTGTGTATATCGATACTCATGTAGTACTTCAGATGCTAATTTATTTTCACTTGACATGCTCTATTCTCATTTAGAAAATAATAGGCCTGGAAATGGAAAATCAGCACACATTATGTTTTATGATTTTTGCATCAGCCTTCCATACAATTCAGCCTCATATTTTAGCAGATAAAATGAGTAAAATAGATCTTCCATTTAATATTTGCTTAGTTCTTAACTTTGTAACAAGTCGCACACAGTTTGTCAAAATTAGCAGCAGTCAGCTAACACTTACACTAACACCAGTTTCCACAAGGAACCATGTTGCCTCCTTTGGTAAAGAGCGCTATATAAATACTTGAATAATAATAATATTATTATTATTATTATTATTATTATTATTATTATTATTATTATTATTATTATTATTATTATTACTATTGTTGTTATTGTTGTTATTATTGTTATTGTTATTGTTATTGTTATTGTTGTTGTTGTTATTGTTATTGTTATTGTTATTGTTATTATTATTATTATTATTATTATTATTTTGGTATACTTTATACGTCTGATTATAGATCGTCTCATCATACTTTACTTTTTGTAAAGTTTGCCGATAACACTGAGACAACTGGTTTAGTTACAAATGATGATTACTCAGAATGAAATTAACCATTTTTTTCAACTACTGTGACTCTAACCATTTAGAGCTCAATACTACAAGGACTAAGGAAAGATTAAGTGAGAGATTTTCGGATAAATAGGCAACCTTTAGAACAAGTTGTAATAAAGAGCAATGTATAGAACAAGTTGATACATACAAATACCATGGAGTGGTTCTGAACAATAGCTAAACATGAGGCGATCATACTGATTATATTATAAAGACGTTAAAGAAGTAGGATGTATTGCCTTGCAAGCTTATAAAATCACTTTCCATTTTTTACACAACTTGATTATTCTTAGTGCATACATCTATTGTATTGAATGTTAGGGTAGTAACACGTCTGAAGGTGAAAAGTATAGAATTAATCGTACAGTATTATGTATTGTATTGTGTGTATGTTGAGAAAGTTGTTGTTGAAATTTTGATGGGAATTAGAAAAAAATATAGATAGAATGCCATACAAAAAGTATTATGAAACGCCATTGGTGGTAAAATTGATTATTTTTAAGCATTTTTGAGTAAAGCATAATTTAGGGACTGGAATTCAGTCTACACAAAAAATGGGAACCTAGTGAGATTGTCTGCTACTGCACCAATATAGCAACAACACTTCATGTTGATTCAATGATCAGTGATAACAAAGCGCTTTGAAACTTACATACAATCAATTACAATCTTTTGTACAATAACTTAATAATTACCTTTGTTTGTTCAACCTTTGGCACTCCAGGAATTATTACCTTTACGTAGGGACACGGCAGTTTATCAGGGTCACGGCAAACAAGTTGGCTAGCCCCAAAGATGCTAACTTGTAGGGTGTCTGGTAGCAGGAACTGCAATCCTATCTCTAATTCTCCTTTAATATCTAAATCCGTCTAAAAAAAAAACATCAACAATCAACGATTACCAAATAACAACACAGGTTGCATTGGAATTTTTTCTTATATTGCTATGTAGACTACAACCACCGTATGAATTTCATCGAGTACATTACTGACGATATAGCTGGATCAGTGGACAATCAATATAAATAACTTTATATTCAAGTACAGAATTGGTCTAAAGCAAGAGTTTGATTGGTTTAGGACCCAGTTGATAGACTTGAATTGACAACTAGTACAGTATATACTGTATTCGCATATAAACGAGGCCTAAAATACTAAATTACCCTAATCATCTTATATGTATGACATACGAAATTTGGATTTTTAAAATCATAGTCATCTTATGTGCGGAACATTCGTAACATGTGGATTTACTACTACGCAGAAGCTACTAAATGTTAGAATGAATCAACACAATTTTCAATATTGAGAAATAGGATTTTGATGAACATAATTTGAAACCTCATAAAATGGTAGTATTAGGAAGATTGGCCTTGCATTTCGCTCCATTTTTAGCCAGCCACATGCAGTGTCAAAACCTTAAAAGCAGAAAAAAGTAGGAATTTGAACTATGAAACAAGGGGGTAGTCTTATACGCCCACCATACAAAACTTTTCGAAAAAATCTTCTCAAACTTGGGGGCGTTTTATCCGAGAACGCTTTATACGCTAGTATATACGGTAGGAGAACCTTGAAGCATAACTGAGAGTGAGCAGGGATATTTTAGTCCTATACTTATTGAGAATATTATATGGGCTTATTCTTAATACTGACAGTGTATATAAAAATACTTCAATAATATTAAGCACCTCAAAAAAGATACATATCCTCATAAAAGTATTACAAATGTAAATCAAGTCAAAAGAAAATACTTAATAAAGTACTTTGTTTGAACAGTGAAGAATTGTGGAAAACGGCACATACATTTTTTTTACATTAAAAAAATATTTTAAAAGGGATATAAACACACATTGAATATTATACAGTATATATTTTTTAATTACTGCAAGACAATTATTGAATTATCATTTATATATTTATTTATTTAAGCTAAAACATACACTAATATTAAAAATAGTATAAAAAAAAACAGGATATTATACAAAGAGAGAGATTATTAAATTATTAATTATTTGTTTATTTATCTTTTACTAATAGAAAAATTTGATAAAATTGCAGATAGAAATAAACTTTTCTACTGTAATACTGGAAGATATCAAATAAATAAAAATAATAATAAAGAAAAATGATAATAATAATGAGAGTGCAAATACCTCCGCTTGCAATGTGTACCAATCAGTGCAAACTTTACTGAGATTCATCTCGCCCACCGGTATGATCCTCTCCCCCATGAAATCATCCTTACCCATGGGGTCATGACTCATCACCTGCACCCTCAACTGGGTGTCAACCAAGTCCTCCTCCAGCACCTTAAATGTTAAGATTTCATTGTAGGTGGGACTTAGGCTCCTGGTTACCACTGATGTAGACTTTGCTCCTTCTGAGTGGCTGTCAGGCACAAGATCAAGCTAAAAGGAGGTAAAAAAAATTCTGAATGAAAATGGGGCTAAGGTGAGCAAATCCTATGACACCGTCCTTTAGATATACTAGGAAATGTCACTCGGTTGAATCAAGTGACATAACGATAAAGAAGGGGCACCGGGGCCAACTACAGCCTTAACATTGGCGCTGGTTCAAGCCACTCCCTGCCCAGTGTTTGGTTGGTAGAACCAACTCTTCTCGGACAAGGACTTAAAACGGAGGTCCAGTGTACGCATTTGTGTACAAATTAAGGAACCCAATTATCTTTTGGAAGAGTGGAGGAGGGGTTACCCCAATGCTATGTTTCGCTTCAACTCCTGTCGTTGTAGAATGATGTGAGCATGTAACCACAAGCACCTGTTTACGGCCGCAAGGTAGTATCGGGCCACGTCTACATGCAATTTAGCACATTGACACTGACTGTTCTTTGCAGACACAGTATCTTAGAAAATTGCAACACCACAACACGTCCGCATCAAATCATTTTTAATGACGATCTATTCAGACTAGCAGTGGCAATGAGCAGAGAGCGTCGCATCGTCTAGCACTCGGAGTTTGATTTGTTTTACGACGGTCATACAACATGGCGAGTACTGCCTTAGGTGATGTAGATGTGTAGGCCTATTGAAAAGGTACCGTAGGTTGAATTGAATAATTAGGAAAATATCTTAAAAACCGAAAGATCCACTGAATAATCTCAGATAGGAAAGCATAATACATACTCCAAGTATTGAAATGCATGCCATCATGTTGGGATTAAATATTTCGACATTAATTATGTCATCATCAGGAATGATGACATAATTCCTGATGATGATATAATTAACGTCGAAATACTGAATCCCAACACGATGGCGTGTATTTCAATACTTGAAGTATGTATTACATTTTCATATCTCAAAGAAAATTGCCAGTATTATACGAAATTCTCTTATGTTATCAATGTAATTATTGTCTGATTGCCAACAGAATTACTTAATACCAAGGCTGTAGAAAAAAATGGTATCAATATATTTACGCAAACTTGAACTGCGTAACAACTATCTATGCGATTTTTTGTATAAAGTAAGTTTTCATATGACAATAACTGAATCTGATGGTGGATTATGATTGAAGCTATTATTTTTTTTGTATAAAGTTTTCATATGACAATAACTAAATCTGATGGTGGATTATGATTGAAGCTATTATTATTTTTGTATATAGTTTTCTATGACAATAACTGAATCTGATGGTGGATTATGATTGAAGCTATTATTTTTTGATGACCGACCTTTATGTAAGGATCAGATGCCTTCCCTCTCAAGTCCTTTGCACTTAAATCTCGTGCAGACACAACTTTAACAAGAAGCAGCTTGCGTTGCCAGTCGTATTTCATGGACAACTTTACCTCGCCCTTAGCGTCCCCCAATGTCTTCATCACTGTTGGATCCATTCTTTTGTATAACTGTTTCAAGATGTACATACTTTCCTGCGGAGGGCAAGTGAATACAATGTTACAAAGTTGTATGAATCGGATGTTACCGTATATACTCGGATATAAGGCTTGCATACTGTATAAGACGAACTTCAAGTTTTTAGAAGATTTGTAACGATACTTGTACCTGTTTTAACATAATTGTAATTCAAATTTTTTGCTTTTCTATGGTCTTCATACTGCTATATTATATACCAAATATAAAGGTCTTAAATGAAATGGTTAATGTCCTGATAAAAATATAACAACAGACAAATTCAATAATAAAAAGATTGGGGAAACACAACAATATCAAAAGTAAACATTTGAATAGGTACATACAACTTTAAAAACAAAATATGGCATCTAAACAATTTATTGTGGATGTGTTTAAAAAAATGAAAAAAACAAAAAACACGATTAAACACTGGAAAAAAAGAGGAAAAATATTTGATTTGTTTGCAGACAATCAGGCCAATTCAAGAAAATTTGAAAAATTATAATAAACTGCGGCCCTTGTCCGGCAACGCTTGCAATGCTCTTGGCATTGATTTTGAGTCTTTGACTTTTTGGTTTATGGTTATTGCCATTTTGGTACTTGTCATTGCTGTTGTTTTGCCACATCAAGATTTTCAACAGCATCATAACAAAACAATAAAATTGTCTATTGTTCTGATTTAAAAAAAAAGCTCACCTTCACTCATCCCTCATTATTTTTTTTTTTTTAAAGAGTGATAATCTAATAATATTCTCTATGTGCCGTTTTGACCTGCTACAGTGGTCGTTCTTGTTACAATAAAAACAGATGCAGGGACCCTACTGTAGGCCTAGGCCCGTGAGATCTGTTTAAATGAGCTTAATTCAAATCTAGGTAGGCCTAGGCCTACTGTAATTATTTTGCTGTATTTATTTAAACAGTAGGCCTAGGCGTAGGCCATAATATGATACTAACGTCGGCACTGACTTCTAGACCTAAGTATAGGCTTAAAATAGCGTATTTTTACGGTAAATCGACAATATAAAGTCATTTATGCATGTCTATGAATATTTAAGTAATTTATATAGGCCTAGCCTAGGCGAGGCCTAGGCCTAGTAGCTTTTGATTTTGGATGTGGTGTGCAAAAGTGCATTAGCGCCGGTATAGCCTATAGGCGGCATACAATTAATAAAATAATATACTAGGATTAGAGATTCCCTACTACTACAGGATACTACCTACTAGAGGCCTAGGCTAAGCAAGCCCTAAGCTTAGGCATATTATTAGGGCCAGGCTGAGGCTAGCCTCTCTCTAGGGCCTAGGGGCCTAGGTAGTCTAGGATGATGGTACCAGAATACAACCATTCAAACAATTGCGATGAGTAAAGTATGTCCTGGATTTTGTGACATGGGAGAAAATTAGGTTCAACATGGCTAATACCTTGTAACCATCATGATCCTCGTCCTCCTGATCTTCCCAAAACGGGTGGTCATTTCTAGGCCTCTTGTCATTGGGTCTCGCTGTCATGGCTCTGGCAAGTCGGGCAACCCTCTCGTTGTCGGAGTTAATTTTCTGAGGATCCCGTGTGTCCGCCGTTCCACCAGCTTCAACTTGGCTTGTATTTCCACCCATTTTCTTCCTTTATGACCTAAATATTTGTACTCAGAATCCGTGTAAATAATCAATAATACAATATCAACTTTGAGAAAGACATAGAACGGTCACTATCACCTTTTAAAGCATCAAATCTTTTGTAAGTCAAATTTCAGCTGTAGTTAGCAGTAGCCATATTGTTTACATCCTAATGACGTCACATTTTCGTCGACTGGACAACGTGTCTATAGAGGCCGCTCAAACTAACGTTCCCGTAGTGGAACAAGAATTTGATAAGTCACGACAAGGAGGAGCATAGAGAAAATAGATGGGAATTCCTTCTTTAAGATGCCCTGAACAGTTTGATACAGGAGTCTCTAAGCCCTGAGAAAACTGTAGCAACTACAACAACAACTGCAATAGCTATAATAGTTGTCTCAGGTAAGACCAAAATCAAGAAGTCCACTGAATGAAAGGAGAGTCACGTACCGGGCTGGGAATAAGAGAAAGAAAGAGGAGAGAGGGAGGTAAAGAGAAAAATAAGGGGGGGGGGGATGGAAAGGAAAAAGAAAAAGAAAAGAGATAATATAAAGACAAGAATAAAAAGGAAGATCGTAATGACCAGACTCACAACATCCTGCAACAACTTCTCCACGTCAAGTGTCCATAGCTCCTTGATCGAAGTCGATTCTCCGCAGTGGCGTAACCACCGGGGGACAAGGGGAAAATCCATCCGTGGAAAATCTTTCCCCACCCCTTGAAAACAGCCCTTTTCAATCAAATTTCGCATTTCTTGTTAAAGTAGGAATGCAATTTCCTCTAAAAAAAATTGCACATTTTAGGGAGTTTTGATTAATTCCGAAGAAATTAGAAATAAAACAAAAACTTTTGCGCGCTTTGCGCGCGTTTCTTTAAGGTTTTTTTTTTTTTTAGGGTTACCCTTCTAAGTTCTTTAAACACATTTTACCTAAAAGAAGGGCCTCAACGTGTAATGATGGTGAAAGAATATATTTATAAATAAAGCCTTAATGAAAATGCTTATATTCAGTTTTAAAAAAAACAAACAAACAAACAAAAAAAAACAAAAAAACGTGTGTAGCCATAATATGATAAATTAATAACCGGGAAAATTATTACCTTTGCCCCCGGCCCCCGACCCAAGACCCCTATTACGCGCCTGGAGGAGAGCAGTACTGGCCCTGCTCTAGTCATTCTATCGAAGTATGTACCAACGTGACTAGTACATTAACTAGATGGGGAAGAGTCTACACCGTTTTCAGCTCTGATCGAATGGAGATCATGTAGGCTGCTGTTCCAATCGAAAGTTGTGTTAAGTTAGTTGGATGGAGTGTTTTCAAGATATATTATTCTGGAGTAAAACCCATGTAGGCTCATGTTTGATCATCGATATGGGACTGTTTATCGTTTTGTCTCGGATTGGTGGTTTGATATTTAGACTATGACGATTGACTAGAATCTTCATTTGCCATTTCTGCATTTTGGACATCTGCTGTAATTTCATAACTTTGTTTTTGCTTCTTCGTTCTTCAGTCGCTGTTTCTTCGCTATAGTTTGCATTATCATCGAACACTATTAATATTATTGGAAAGTTCTTGACTGATGAGCGCGTAACTGAACATAATTTAAGTGACTGTTCGTTTACCATCAAGTAGGGGCAATGTAAGCACTCGCGAGTCAATAGACTTATGCTAACGTAACTAAAAAAAAAATCCTTAAAATGGACAAAAATAAAAGAACTTATAATTGACTATAGGAAAGGAGAAAAATAATGTTGTATCACTTGTTGTTGATAATGTTGAGATTGAGACTGTTACTCATCACAAATACCAAAGTTTAGAGATTGATAATAAGTTAAACTGGGGGGAGCAGTGTGATAAAATTGTTAGGAAGGATATGACGCGACACCATTTCTTAAAGAAATTGCGGTCATTCAATGTTGATACATGTATAATGAGCCTTGTTTATTCTTCTTTTATTGAAAATGCTCTTTTGTTTGGAATTTATGTATGGTTTGGTACAGTAATTAAAGGAAACACGATTATAACAGACTACAACGTATCATAAATCAGGCTGGGAAAATTCTACAACAAAATAGACAACTAGATGATATCTGTGAGATTAAAATTATTGATAAAGTAAAGAGTGTTTTAATAGATAATTTCCACCCACTAAATGCATCTTTTACTTGGCTACCCTCGGGTAAAAGGTTAAAAAATTGCTAGACTTGCCACCCCCGAGTCTCTTATTTTTATTATTTTTCTCATTCTGGACAGTGCCACCAACGAGAAAGTTAATTTATAGACGGAATAATGCCACCAACGAGAAAGTTAATTTATAGACGGAATAAAAGAAAAAAAAATAGAAATCGAGTATGGGCCGCCAATTAAATTAGGTATAGCGCGCACTAAGTGCAATAAACCCAAAATTAGGGCCTGGAGGCCAGGCTATTAGAATGCGTTAAATCAGCGTTAAGTTATGCACATAACCAAAAGAATATATACTGTCTCTTATAAACATCT